ATATATATATATATATGTATGTATATATATATGTATGTATATATGTGCATAAAAAAGGAGAAAAATCCACAGGCAAAGCAGAATGTTCAAAACAGAAATATCATCCAATTTGGTTGTGTGTTCCTTTCCAGCTCTTCTTCTTCTCATACGTGTAAGTGGTGGTTAGTAAAGAGCTTAATGTAACACTAGCACTACCATCTGGTAAGGTGCGTTGATTTTAATGATCCGCCCACTAAAGGGGAACTATGGGCACTGTGGAGACAGAAATAAACCGGTCCCACCGGAACCGGCCTAAATAAGGCACAATAGGGTCCTACAAGAATTGGACCTGTGGATAAGGGGCTAAAGTCAATCAGCGGTTGTTTATCCAGTTTTAGGACTTCCATTAGCATGTTAGCTATTACTGTAGGTGAATACTCACCCACAAACGTGAAGTCCAACAATCCTAATGTTATCACGTCTGCTTTGCCCCCTACAGCCTCAGACTGTTTTTTTAGCGCATCAATTTCAGTCCTCAGTTCTACTGCACTTGCACACAGCTTTTCCAGTTCGTCCGAGTGGGAAGACGAGCAGGGTTTTTTAGCTCCAAATTAGCAGACCCAGCCCGGTCCATCTCCGCTCTGAGAGACACAGCAGTGTTCGTCAGTTTGGTCCGAACCGCCAATAATTTGCTCTTTACAAAGTCAAAATCATAGGTCAGAGCTGTCCTCAGTTCTTTTTTAATCATTGCAACAACATCGGCTCTTATTGAGGCCAGGAGGTCTGATCTTAGAGCCGATCCATCTCTTCCTCCAGTGCCTAGTGAAGCAACCCCCTCTCAGTCAGATGCACTAGCATTAGCTTTGGCGTTAGCAATATGTCGCAGTGGAAACAATGGCAATACTTTAGATTTTTTTGTGCTTAGAGGCCAGGGCTTAATTTATAAATTGATTGATGGCGTGGGTCCTCTCACAGAAAATTTTGAATAACAGAGATGCCATTTCCTGCATTCTGGTGTATTCTAACGGGTTGTTATACATGAAAAATTTACCTACATTTGTAAACAATAAAATTACTATTTTGGAGAGGAACAGCAGGTTGTGTGTGTGAATGAGCAGCTGTGATTCTGTCAGGTGTCCTAAACCCCCTCCTCCCTCCCCCCACTTCATGGTTCTGAGCTGAACTCTTCTCCTCCTGCTCCAGTCTCGTGGCACCGTTTGAAGCACCTGAAGGCTTCAGTTCTCTGTTGTCCAACTAAGGACCATCCACCCATCCATCCACCCACCCACCCACCCGCCCACCCACCCATCCATCCATCCATCCATCCATCCATTCACCCACCCATCCATCCATCCATCCATCCATCCATCCACCCACCCACCCACCCATCCATCCATCCATCCATCCACCCATCCATCATCCATCCATCCACCCACCCACCCACCCATCCATCCATCCATCCACCCACCCACCCATCCATCCATCCATCCATCCATCCACCCACCCACCCACCCATCCATCCA